TTAAAGTTTAAAAATCAGATATTATTTTTAAAATAAAAATTTAAATATTTCATCAACTGTCATGAACATATATACACAGAGTTTTAAAAAGTAAAAAGAAAGTAATTTATTATCACAATTAAAAGTTAATACTTTCAAACTAGCATTTGCTGCAACAGCAAGGTATGTGTATCACAGTCAAATTATACAAACGAGTTAAATGCTTTTCAATAGTACCTTAGTTTTATCCAGAGGTCATGCATCACTAATCAACGATAACTGAAAAGGTTTATAGAAATGTAACATGTAGAAGACAGGTATGATACCCATGTGCTACATCATTCAAACTTGGCACAATTGTTGCTATGGGCAAATACTGCATCCCCCGAAGTTTATAGATCTTTACATCACTTACACCACAGTAAATTTACCATTCCCTCTCTGCGACCTACTCCCCCATCATCAAGTGTTAATTTTTTGGAAAAATTCCCCTCTAATTTTGTATTTAATAACAAAACAGTAATAGAAAATGAATCTATGCACCTGGTATGACATCATGCAGGATCAAACTGTCGATCTCCGAGCAATACCAGCCACAAACATGTTCACAAAGTTCAACGTGCGAATTGCCCGTCGTGTCATTCGCGCAAACAGGCATTGCTGCCATGCTGCCACGTGCACGAAGATCGTCAAAATTTATACCAATACAACGAAACAAAATTGAATTATGTGAGGTGATATCGAACAGATACAAAAAAATGTACTCCGGCAAATTTGTAGAATATGAACTGAAGATTAAAAAAATATAAAACACTTCGGTTTTTTGAAAGAATTCGGTTGTATGTCATGTATGTCAGTTGAAAGTCTAAGGTCAGCGAAGATCGTAGATCCATCGTACGCTGCCAAAAACAGAAGGCAAAATGCCCATAATTAGATCTGTGACATCAAACTAGGGAACATCCACTTTCCAAAAAGTTAAGTTTTTGTGAGACAGGAAGACGATATCATTTCGCGAGTGCGATGAAAAGATCGGAACATGTTGCATTTCAGCGGCAAGATCCAAATAGCCCACATGCAGCGAGTCCAAAAAGGTGATTTTGATGCTGCCCACGGACAAATGTGTATATTTAACCCTCCCCTTCCACTTTCTTTGTGAAGATAGGGCCTAGGCCTACTTCTTTTTTTATGTGTTTGAAAGACAAATGATGAAATAAATTACATGTTGATTTTGGGGGGTCTAGGCCTACACAGTGATCATTCCTATTCTTCAGAGGCATGAAGTTGGTGTAGATGCCAGCCGCACCGACCGCTCCAGGAATATCGGTCCGTACTGTTGACATGCCTACTAATATCAGTAATATAGTAGGTCATCTCAGTGGTGTAATGATGTAATTAGCCTACATACGTAGCGCAACACAAACACTGGTCCGTACACTAAATTAAAATAGGCCTAGGCCAAATGCTGGCCTACACCGTACACGATTTGGAATGGTGCCCTCGAACACGGATCCAGTCCTAACCGGTTCCACCCGAGTCCATTGCTGCCGGCCGTTCATGGTCGTGATACGTAACCGAACAGGGAGGGACGCCATGAATGTTGAAAGGTTTCAAAAGATACTCACACTAAACAACTCCATGTTTTTCCAATCCCCCGATGTTATTTGGTCTAGGAAAGAAGCACTCTTGCTCATCTGTTGTGAGAGGATTCACTGAAGATGTGTGGAAAATCTTAAGCCGACTTTTGGCGGAGTAAACATGAAGAAAGTGAGGCACTCTCCACGCAAAGATGAAGACAAAAAATTACAAAAATATATACACGACCCAAAAAGTTCCGACAATTCAGCCGGTCTTCTGTCGCTGTCACAGCGGGAAAAACGATGCTAGTTCGTCGCAGAAGTCACGGTAGTGACCACTGCAGCCCTTGTAGATCATTATCAACTGGGCTGGACAAGAATTTGAGTCGAACATCATCTTGAAAATGTAGTAGTCACATAGGGTCTGACGATTCATTCACGCGTTCCACTGGCAATATTACTTTTCAGTTGTGTGTATTGTGTACGTAGTCGCTCCTATATCCTGCGCGCGCCGCGACGCCCGGGCCCGATCGCTGTTATTCATGCGATGCGCATGCGATGGCACATGGGCTTGCACGCGCTGGTGACGTGAAAATATGAATATTCAACACGTTCGCATGTGTACAGCACATGCTCATATTTTTTTCTGGAACTTAGTGTTTTCTTCTTCAAATTCAATGTATGAAAACTCTTTTTGCATCCCTATTTGGTCAAATGCAATGAAAAGTGCACTTTTTAAAACTTTAATAATTTCCAAGCTTTTCTACACAACTGATGCCACTACTGAGAAGTCACCCAGACAGAGTTCGTTGAATAGGTTTTTATATTCAAATTGTGAACATTTCTGAGAAATGAATATGATCCTTGCTTATTGCTGTTCACATAACAATGGATAAACAAAGAAGAGAAAACTTAGTCCAGCAAAATCGACAAAAATGCTGAACTTTTTTGTGTAAAAGCCAATGTAACATTAAGGCATTCTTCCTGAGATGGCATCAGTTTTGCTCATACAGAAAATATTAGCAAAAACCAAAAGGCAGAAAAATTACCCTTGGAAATAGTGCAACTGAAGACAGAAAAAATGTGTGCTTATTCTAGATCCTCAATGGGTTAACCGAGACTCAAAGGTGCATGTTGAAGGTCGATTGCAGCTAGTCTTTACTACGCCCTCACATAACTCATTTGTGTGGGGAAAAGACAGAAATAAATTCATATGTGGATAAACATTTTGAAAAATTGATTATTTTTTTAATAAAAAAAATTTAAAAGCCTCTCATGTTTGGGTAGATGCAAGAGTAAATTCTAGCATCAGCCCAACTCCACCTACTTTTCTGAAGAAAGGAAAACATGCGCATCAAGTTCAATACGCAACAGACAAAACAGAGGACAGACTTTTTTGTTTGTTTTGTTCTTTGGGGGAGGGTTAAAGATGAAAAGTAATAGGCATGAGAAAACATGGAAACATTTCCCAGTCTCACCCCTATTCTGCATAGTTTAATGATCAAGACAATATCAAAGTAGATAAATACACTAACCACAGAAATACACAGAGTTTACGCATTTCCAGTCTTCATAAAATCGCACACAAATCATTAGTTTTATTGAATTTTGTCATGTGCTTCTCTAATAAATATCCTCTGTACAATTTACGTTTTAACTGCTTAAATCAAATTGTGCCAACTCTTTATTTACATCCTATGATACAACTTTTTAATGAATGAATGTATCCTTTACATGAACAGTACATGTACATGTATATTAAATATTACAATACAGTATCTAACTTTCACAATGGGAACACATAATGTTACTTTTGCACTCAAAAAAGGTAGGAAGTTCATGAATTGAATTTATTTAATCTTCCATTACTGATACAATTTGTATCTAAAAATTTGATGACTTTTTTGTTTAATCTTTGTTTATTTTGTTCAACAAGACTGATTACACTGTTCTAAACCCTGATTCATTCTGCGAATAAGATATCTGAATATATAGAGAGGGCACAGTTGCTAGGCAATTAGAAAAAAGTATGAAAATTGCCCTTAAAACTAACATCTTATAGCTCAAAGTATATTTTGGTATCCAAAAAATACTACAGCAAATTATGTTTCAGTTTCCATAGCAAGGTCCCTTTTAAAGCAAGACAATGGTTCCCCGACAGTGGCTTTGTTGTCATATTTAGGGAAAAAATACAAAAAAATACCAGGCCAAGGATGACTTAACAGAGAAATGTAAGTTTCACAGGGCTGCACACTGATTGATTTTAGTGTTTACTATCTAGCAAAGAAACCGATTCTCTTCCCAGGACCACAAGACATGACCCTTCTAACTGTATGCAAATAGCAAAATAGGAAAAATTTGTCCTGACGTTTAAAAAAAAACACACTTGTTTCTGTTTCCACAATTACATTAAATGGTACGCACCCTTTTCTGCAAAAAAAACCAATAAAAGAACAAAACTGATCAAACTACAAACAATAAACACAAAAGTTAGCCCCTTATTTTATATGGACCAGCAAACAGCATTATGCAGAGCAATTAACTGAAACTCAACTCTCGTTTTGAAGTCTTTAAATGATATGTAAATTTTTACCGACATTCTTCTTTCTGAGAGTGCACTAGATTATTTCAATAAATGATAACCTTAATGGCATGAATATTCATTTCGTATCACAAATAAACTTCTTAGGCTGGTCTTCAGCACAAAACAGCAACTCTTCTAAGAGCGAGAAAGATATACTTCAGTGAGTATTTTAAATGATCAGAATTCAAATTGACACAGCCAAGAGGGATGGACTACACATAATTGCAAGTTACAAGATTTGGTACTCAAAAGTTTGTGGCAATTTATATTGAGAAAAAGCTTCACTATCTCAGCTAAAAGGTGAACTCTGCTAATAAATAACTAGCACTATTGCACTAAGTTCATCGCCTGGGCTAAAGAATAATAAAATCCACACATCCACACGTGGTGTTTAAAAATTCAAAACTGACCACACTTTTGTATCAGCTTATTTTCTTAACCAGAATTCTTTCATCAATTACAAATCTCAGATCTGGAGAAGAAAATGGACAGCTTTTTAAGATTTTGCTGCTATTGCTGACAACTGATTGTTCAAAGCTGTCTTTTCTGCCTATCCCAATCTCCAAATAATCAAAGTGGCTAAATTCAACACCACTTATATTTAGAGTAATAAAACAAGAGATACACTGGATTTATTTAGACCTGCCAGAGTACAGACATAAAAAGAACCCGACCCTTGCTGGAAAAAAAGAGAGAAATCACAGCTGGCGTAATTTGTAGCTACATGCATACTACTACTGGCACAGAGCATCTTTATGTTGAAACTGTTCCAAATTATGTTACAAATATTTTTTGGTCTGTTTGGTACACCTTATAACAATTGCAAAATGCATTCCCTGTCAGTAACTGATCAAGCACACTCATATCCGATAGTAAAAAAGCACCTTGATCCCATAAGGTCCCTTCAAGGTAAAATATTAACCACTTGGGTCAAGAATCAGTTTGGTCTTTCCAGACTTTGTGTTTTGTAAAGACATAAAGGTACAACTATGCAAAGACTTTTTCTGAAACAAACTATCACTTCCAATGAACAGACTACAAGAAACATTTTGAAAATTTAGGGAAGAAGTCCTTTGAAGAATTCCAATCTGAAATCTGCTACATCATCTCATATTCTGGAAGTACTTGTACATGCATAAGTTATGGGGATGTGAAACAGGTGAATTTCAACTATGCAATCTGTATAGTATAAAACATTGTCTTACTTTCACAAAATGGTTACGGTACTCTTGTGGATATTGCACTCTAGACCATGTTTGGGTTAAAATTATACCATAAAATCTCACAAACATTTTAAAAGTAATTTTCCTAACTGGTTGTAACTTTTTGCTTTAGCATGAGTGAAAACAACTAACTCTCAGATGATTGTGAACTGAATGGGCATGACATATTTCAACAACACACAACTTGCTAAAGTTTTATTTGCTACTTTCTTTTAACCCACACCCAACCCCACCGATAAGCATCGGACTTAAGTCACTAGAACAGAGTGATGTCTTTGCCAAACCACCATTACCGTGAACTTGCATCACACTGTTTTAAGATTACCTTGAAAAGTTTACCAGAAGCACATTGCCCACATAATTGTTTGACTTATTTCTGACCATGCCATATACGTTAAACAGATTGTTCAAAAAGGACACTTGAATTTTTCACCACGAGTACATCAATTCTCCATTCATGAGGTAATCCTCTGATAGTCAGTGAAAAGTCATCATCAGCATAAAACCTAATTTCCATATGGTTGTAATGAACGCCAACGGCACACAAGACATCAAGATGAAGACAGTCCTGGAACAGACACTGTGTGACATCGTTCCAGAAAATTAAACAGAAAGGCATCCAAAATCTAGAATTTTTTTCGGATAAAATGCTTTTTTAGTCGGCAATACCACCTCTTGAAGCCAAACCGGCAGTACAGTTTGGAGTATTTTGTTCATGCTCATCTATTTTGTTGACAATTTGGGCTGCATATGTCAGTAATAGTGGGCAAAATGAGAGTCGTGCCAGAGTGCATATTTGTATAGGTCCATACTGACGACTCAATGTTGAACCTGATTCAGTTGACTGTTTGCGTCAATTAGTCATGATAAAGTGTTTCTATATCTTTGCATATCCCCGGGGATTGATTGGCAGTGCTCTCTGTGTCTCTTGGTGTCAATATGGAAACCAGATTTGAAATTGCAAATAGCAATGTACATGTATTATCTTGGTCCATCTACCATCCACATGCATGAGCTCCCTTCATTATTGAGAAGGTTTATAGAATCAGTTATTCGTTGAATTCTTGATGACATTCATGTTTGCTTGTTCCTAAAAGGGCACTAAAAAGTATGTATTTATTACAGTTAAAAATTCTAAATATATTAGATAATACTCAGAAAGTGGGTTGAAAGTCACTGACATGGAGAGAACTATTCAGTGCATTCTATAAAAGGTTGTTTGGTTGTTTGTTCATGAAAGGGTAAAGTTACAAGGCCACTATCTAAAATAAACAATGTCACAGCCCTTCAGCTTCCTGTGGATGTATCTCTGAATGTACCTTTAAATCATGGAAGCAATGGACCCCGGTGCAGCACAAACAGAAATTTCTTTTTGTGTAAATTTTGTGCCGAAAAATCAGAGCTGAACAGATAAGGTGTGGCCCCAAAAAATTTAATATCCATGCTGCATTTGTATTGTTTACCGTGGGTCATGTCAAATCTTATCACACACAAAAAGAAGTAAAATATGAAATGAATGCCCTTTGGGATCATGCTCTGGCTGCAATTCATTTCTTTCATCTGTTACACTGTTGAACAGAACATATAATTACTATAACTTACAAAAATAAAAACACTTAAATTTTGATCCAACAAGTGTCAACTAAATGCAATAAGAGTTTTTTTTTTCGTCTACCACTTTCAGTGTTAACCTGAAGTCTGTTTTTGAATTATCTTGATTCATACCAGTATGTTACACTGCTGTGGATGGTCCCATGCTTAACAGGTTCCCTGTGTTGTCTTTGGTCCGCACATACAGGTGGCCTTTGGTCCAGGGGTTCTGTAGCTGTAAAGGGCAGTGGTCATCCCGGAGCTGGTACTCCTTATTGCTGATGATGGCTACAAGGCAGAACTCGCTCCACTGGTCCTCTAGATAGAGTGGTGAGTCCAGACCATGGGATTCTACGGCCTTGTTCAGCTGCTGGATGACTAAGTTTACAATCTCCCGACACGTAGTTTTACTGGTGACGTGCAACTACAATTGGATGACACAACAACAAAAAAATGAAGTAAGCAGTTGGTTTCATCATTTGGTTATTTACTGGCTGAATTATGATATAGAAAGCTAGTCTTGTCATATAAACTAGTGAGCAAACATGGTGGATTGGTTTGGATATAGGAAATGTTTCTATGCAGCACACACACATTTAAGTGCCTTCCTGTGGCAACAACTTTACCTCAAACCCTTCACATGCTAACTTTGTCAATCCAGACTCATTCTGGGCCAAAAATACCCAGCTACTCCCAACCAAAGCCAGTGAGCAAAACTAAAGCTTTCACAAATGGTACAGCCATAAGTAATGCAATAGTCAGAGATTTCACAATCTCAAGTAATGATCACTGGTGTACATGCGTATTTGGAAAGAGGGTTGGGCTTTAACGATGGTGATGGTGTGAAAAATCCTATAGAAAAATACCTTGATACTTGTTCCTTTTGCGAGACCTGAGTTGTAATCAGGGAAGACTCTGAGGATACCGGTAGAAGGTTTGGTCTCCTTGCTGGGATTCAAGAATTGCATGGGCTGGGTCTGGCCATTGTTGGGGATCTGTAGGGTGGACTTGTCTTTTTCTGCTAGAGGAATGATAAAAGGGCAAAAGTAGTTTAATCAGGGAATCCCTTGTTACCCCCTGAAAACTACGGGCCAAATGTTACACAGGTGGTTGTGTGCCAAGTTTTAAATCTAAGTAATCGGGGTCAAGAGCATCCAATAGATTGGATATTAGTTGATCCTGGCAACGTTTCCATGTTTCTTCCCTTTGAATATTCACCTAATATTTTCCTCCCACTTGTGACACTTCAGTCCCTCTCTCCATTGGATTTTTTCAGGCTTGCAGGCTACATTGCACTGCTGCAATTTTGACAACCTTGGTAATGTTACCAATGAGATAATAATAGTATTGCCTAGGTAGCACCAACAGCCATAAACCACACAATTTAGACTGACAAATTTGTGAAACCAGGCGAACAAGTGGTTTTCTACCTGGGTTTTTGAGATTTGTCGGCAGTGAAATCCTGCATACAGTATATCAATCCCTCATGGTAAAAAAAAAAAATTTTAAACGAATGACTCGCATACGAACACCAAAAACATGTGCCAAAATGTAATGCTCAATTAAACAAACTATAAACATGTTGGAAAGCCTCAGATTATATCGCAGGAAACACATTTAAAATGCCTCACCATCAAATATCTTTTCCATGTCGCTGATGACATCCATGGGAGAGTCCACTGGTGATGGCGGAGGTGCATAGAGGACTGAGAGGGGCACACCCCCTCGTAGCTGCTTATCTCGCGCATACTGAAGGACATCCATGATCCATCGCATTCCTTTCCAAGTCGTCTCTAACTCCTGTAAGGAAATAATCCGTGAAACAAGCTGTTGTTGCTCTGCATTCACAAACACCAAAACGTATGTGTGACCAGATCACAGGACATTTGATCTATTTTTCCCCATACACATTACACAGAGAATTCCCAGCTACTCACTGTCACACTTCATTTAGCTTGAAATCCTGACGAGTCATGATATTATGGCAAAGCGTCTTCAACTACGTCATACAGGAGACTCTAATAATGCATGGTGACACCCACCTGCTGGTAGTCAAGCACCTGCTGCAACCTCTGCTTGGCATCATTGACCTCATCTGTGGAGAAGGCTTCCCTCAGAGTCTGCTGAGCAATCAGCGAGTCAATATCCAGGATGGAGGAGAGTCGGGTGAAGCGACGGATGAACTCAGATTGGTAGGTAGTCATGTGAACTGTGCATAAGCAGCAACAAAATGAGTTAAGTGTGAAGTTAGACCCCTTGAATCTGAACTACTTAAAATACTACATCTCCAGCGATGATAATATTGAGGCTCATTAAACTTGGCAAAGTCTGCCATGCACAAATGACTTCACTGGTTCCTTCCAAGCACTACTGTAAAGTTGCTAAAATTTGCTATGCTTCAAAAAATAACACAGTGAAACTATGCTACTTCTCAATTCTTCAGAAGTTTACGTAATATATAATACAAATGGGTAATATATAATACAATTGGGCAGATTAAGGATCTATCAAGGACATTATCTTAAAAAGGTTTTTAACAGGTTTTTTTGGTGGGGTTAAAGAAAAAAATTCTGTCAAGGACCATGAAATTTAGCTACTTCTGTCTGAAATGAAAGTTCATACTTACCCATTTCAAAGACAGGCACAGGGATAGATATGTAGTCTTTGCTGACAATCCACTCATCGGATGTCCCTGGGCCAAGACACACACTTCCAGATGGTGGGAACAGCAGCACAACAGATACCTACATGGGACCGGGTAACAAATACCAGTACTAAATCCTAGTAATAAAACTATTAGCCATCAAGATGGGAGAATGGGAGGTGAAACTTTCATTACCTTCTGGTGGCGTGAACAAAGTTACCAATTTCTTTACTTCCAAACGAACAAGCCAATGATGCAGAAGAACACTGCAAATTTTAGGGAAGGATGACAACCTATTTCATGAACCTTTCCAGATCCTCCAAGTCCATCTGGAGGTTTTGAAATACTTTGGGTATAATCTCGCCTCTATTACTTAACACGGTACTGGATACTTCTGAGTGCTTCTTGAAAGAAAGTGTCTCTTAACACAGTTGAGGATGTCAAAGGATCAAGAAATTTCTCAGTACAACAGCCATGTTTGTCAGGACTAACATCAACAAATTCACTGTGAGGCACTGACCTGTTCGTTCATCTCAATGACTTCCAGGTCGCACAGTCTGTACGTCAATGATTCTTCCTCACTAACACCCATCTTGACCAGCAGTTTCCTCGTCCCTGTGGCCAGGAGGTGCTGGAAATCCTCCTGGATCTTGGTGGGATTTCTCTTGGACTGACAGGGAAAGACACAATGATTGTCAAAGCTACAAAGAACATACAGCATGCCACACACAGACACACAGGTACATGTGCTTCCACTAGCTCTAACCAATGCGGGCAAAGACTTTCTTTTTCAGTAGCCCCACATACAAACACTTGTAAATGCTGCCGCAAGCTAATGTACATGCAGCTTGCTCTTGCATAATACTGAGGAGAAATGTAACGATATTGAACTATGTTTCCACTGGAAAATCCACTTCACTGCAGTACCCAATCCACTCTCTGCAGGAACAAGAGATGACATGCTTTGGCATAGCAATGGAGGTCCTGTGGTGGGAAGCCATCCCACACACACTGGTTTATATGCATTTGGCATGGGATGCACAAAGCCATCACGACCCATTTCTCTTGAAATCTGAAGTCTGCATGTGCGCTAGGTACCCAGATAAACCAATTCCCAACTTATGTGTCCCTTGTTCCAGTGAAGGGGTGCTTCAAAACAGGACAGATACTGCCAAATGCACTATTTGACCACACCCACCTGGCAATTGTCCAATGTATGCAGCCACTCCCACTCTTCCTGAGAGACATTAGGGTTGTCCCTCAGCTTGACATGAGGCAGCACGCTGGGCAGCTTCTCAGGGACTTGGACTCGTATTGTGTCCACTGAACTCCTGAGTTTCAAGTAGCCTAGGTACAAACCCTTGGTGAGTTTGATGCCGCTCACTTGATGGTACAAGATCTTCTCCTGTGAGAAAAAAAATTAAACATTAGAGACAATAATTTCAGGTTTGGTTAGCCTTCTGTCAAGCGGTGTCATGTTATTGGCTCTTGAAGGAAAGGATCCAAAACCCCAACCTTTTGTAAATAGATGATTCAACAGCAATCCTACCCATTTGCTGGTGTTAGAACTTAAAGAAATTCAGAAAGTGTTAGAATGAATCAGATCAACACAAGGATGCACATGTCGGTACGGATGCAGTGCAGGAATTGAAAAGTGAAAAGAGCACAGTGTGACCTAATCACGGGAATCAAGAAAGGATACAATGGCACAGAGCCTGTAATGCCAATTCTCAACTGAATGTTTGAAAATTTCTCTGCCTCTCATGAGAGGACCCATGAGCACCGTCACACAATTCAAAACGCACTACAGCATCTGTACATGCCTGCAAGATTTTGCAGTGTTACTGCTATTAAGGGGATTTCATGCACAGTCTGAAAAGACAACTTACAGGCAACGAGGCTAGCAGCATCTCTGCAGCTGAAGGATTGTCCATGTTCACTGACTTTCGTTTCTGTATGCGATTTATATTGGTCCATTTCAGAGATGACATCGTCTGCATTACCCGTTGGTCCTACAAAGAACATTAATCATTTCAAAATGTACTTTGTGTCGGGAGATATTAATTTAATTACACGTTTTGCCCTCACATCGACATGTATTAATTAACACTGTATTCTCAGTGCTTGTCCGTGAGTTGCGAAAAAATTGCAAGCTTACTCGGGTGGGACTAGAACCTATAACCTCCTGCTTACTAGTGCAGATGTCTAAACCACGTGACCACTGAGCTTACCGAGGTCAGCTAGCCAGTCCAATCTGCACTGAGAAGCACTGAGAATAAAGTGTTAATTGATGTACGTCAGTGTAAGGGCAAAACCTGTAATTAAGAGCATTAATCATCAATCACATTAGCAATGTTTCACAGATTTCTCATTCTTAAATGCCAGAGAGCACGCTGAGGTTTTGAAAAAAAACAACCAGATATTTCACCGACATGGTGCACATGTGCAGTGAATACGGATGAAGCCTTCCAGAATGGTAATAGATGAAAACAGATGAAATCAATTCTTTGGTCCTTGGAGAAAATTCTTCATGAACCATTCTGATCAAAACACAGCTAACCCGTGAAGAACACACTTAGTGTCTGCAGTCTGTCATTTTACCAAAGTTTCAGTTTTCAAGAATCTACACAAAAATTATGTCAGCAGCTACCAGAACTAAGAAAACAATGACTTCACTTCAAACATTTAACACGCTACAACTCCTGAATTCATTTCTGAATTTGTCTCCAATAACTGTGAAAAAGGGTAAGTTAAGGGTACATTTTGCATGGTACCCAGGAAAGGGTTACCTCAGAGATCTCACAACCAAACTCAATGACTATTCCAGGACTAAAATAGGACAATTTCTCATGACATTTAATGCCATTGTTGCAGAGAAAAGTTGTGCGGCATTGGGAACTGGAAGAATACCACTACTGTAGATTGACAAGGACAGCGTGTAAATTCATCATGATTCTGTTATCACATCCAAAGTGGCCCATCAAATAACCCCTGCATGATCTTGACATTCATGGGTTTTCAGTGATTTTTTCCTCTGGTAACAGGATTCCAGGTCTCAAAATTTTTCCCAACTGTTAAATGACTTTTCCATGACAATCCAGGACAACTTTTTCTTCCATGATTTTCCATGACCACAAGAACCCTGCAGATATATATTGTACACAAGTGAACAGGGAAAGTCGACCAGTGGTGAACAAATTGTCATTGCTTGAACTTATCACAAGAGAATATTTTGAAAGCCCTACCCTGATTTGGTTTACAATGGTGATGATGATGATACCATGGCTATCTCGGATAGGCTCGTAGAAGACCTGGCCCAGGTCCTGGGTGCCCAGGGCTGACTGGAGGAGAGATGCTGCCTGGAGAAGCCTGGCACGGAAAAGGATGGCTGGGGAGGAACCACTAGTCCTCTCCAGGTCAGAACGTAGGAGGTCCACATCTTCCCACGTACCTGCAACCTAGATACCAGACAGCAATACAACCACGCTGTCAACAGAGGTTTCACCACAGAGGCCATTTTCACAGGGCACTGTGGGAAATGTCATTAGCACAAATACTGGTATTCGTTTGACATAAAACTTGACAGCTTTGTTATTTTGACGTATGACTCTGAAGACGGAAATTTCTGTGTGAATACCAATGAGCTCAATGAAAATATCGCACATAAGCAATGTATGGATGACTAACTGCAGCACAGCGTAGGCAAGAAGTCAACCATGACATATGAGAGTGGCCTCCTTGAAGCAAACACTAGTGGTGCAGTGTATTGGATTTTGCCAAACAGACTTGAGTAATTTCAGCCTGTCAGTCACAGGAAAAAAGGCAGTAACAACAGGACTAACCTTCAAGAACCAAAGAAAATCTTGATGGATGCTGCTGGAGAAGGTCTCATCCACCTCCACAATGGGGAGTTGGTCTTCATTAGTTACAAGGACCTTGTCATCACTGTACATCACTGAAGCCAGGTACACTCCTCTGGAACAAATCAAAAGCATCAAAATCCAATCATGCTGACTTCAGTTTTACTACACTCAAATGAGAGAACCTCTACAGTACACATTAGTCTTGTACAATAATAAATATTGTGGAGTATTCCACTTATATTTCGTTGTGTCAGTGAAAAAGCATCATATCTCAGGTTTCGAGTAGTTTGAGAAAAGGGCAAAACAGGTTTGCAGCCTCCCAGTAAAGTTCTGTGCTGAATTAAATACAGGAAATGGAAGTTCAGACAGACAATGTACTTACAAACGCATTTATTTGTTCTAGGCCTCGGTATCTTGATTGATTTTATATAAATGATCTTTGAAAGGAACAAGGTTAATATACAATGTTTTCGCTTGAACAAAGCGCCAGGCATATTTTGGTCAAAATGTTATAACTTGTTGGTATAGTTTATCAAAGCCACTATTTTCAAGGCTAATTGCGATAAAGTCCCTTCTCAAGGTACACAAAGACCAACCCACTGACATCAAGCAAGTCCAAAACAGCTGAGCTATGAAGAACAGCTATCAACTTACCTTTTTAAATGTTTCTGAAACTTTGGAGCTGACTGGAAGAAATTCTTGAGGCTCTTTTTCACAGTCCGTCGGACCTGATTTGGAGATGCTCTGGGTGAACTTCCTGCAAACACCGAGTAATCAACAAGAACAAAACCAAACTCTGATGAAGCAACCTCTCTAGTGTGCTTGTTTCACTCTTTCTTTTGCTGACCATACGTTTCTTCTTTCCTAATGGCTTGAATACAAGAACAAGACTGCAACTCACTATGCTTCAGAAACTGTGAGATGAGCAGTAGATGAATTTTCTGTTTTCTTATTTTTTTGAGAAAGAAAGGGAGAAGGTTGCATTTATTATTTATTGAATCAGAATCTGAAATTTAACTGTTATTTCACCTGATAACCTGTTAAAAATTTATTCTGTACTGTTTTGCAGAATTCCATCTAGATTCATTAAAATGTACATTTTTCACATCATTAAGGGTATCTTCCATGCAATTGCCTCCAAATGTTACAAATTGCCATATCTTTCCACAAAAAGCGCAATCAGCTTTAGATATAAAGCCTTTCTTATTTTCATCTGGAATACACAAAAGCAGAGTGTATGTCTACATCTACATTTAATTGAAAATAATTATCAGGCCACATATCGATAGTCGTAGGTACGCCCTAATTTGATTCGAAGAGCAAAGCAGTTTCTACATCTGATCATAGTAGTGTTGAAGTGTACAGCAACGTGTAAAACCACTCACTCTTGATTTCGCCAGAGTCGGTGGGTCTGGTGTCTCGGACCTGCTGGAACAAGTCGTCGATCATGTTGAGGCGGCCACTGAAACGCGACTTATTGCCATGCATGTCCCTCCAACCTACATGTATGTGTTGGTGGGGGGGGGGAGGGAAAGAATTGTGGGGTGAGAGGGAGGGAAGGAATCAATAAAGCGTGTCAGATAGCCATGAGAACGGAAACCTAATCAATATATACCTGGCTTGAAAGTGGGACAGGGACAGGTAAAGGGTCCCCAGGCTGGAAACTGGGAAAATGCAAAAATGGCTGAAATTTGGAGCTTGGGCACTGCTAACTCTTTCTAAGCAATAAACAGTCATGGGTAATTCCAATAATTAAGGGTACATTTTTCTGTGTTCAGAACACATTTTCTAATTTCCAAGAGTGATGAATTAATGCAAAGTACCTGCCAAACAAATAGTAATTTGAAATCAATTCCGGTGATATTTCCATGTCAAATACCAAAGGTCAGATGTAACAGAGACACTAAAATGTCACACTTTCAGACCCCTAATTTCTGGAATTACCCTCATCATACATGTACCTAACATTTTGGTACTTCGTGTGATCTTTGAATCAAGGACAAGGACAATTTAAGTACAGGGTAGCTATGATAGACCAAAAATTCACTTTAAAGTGGGAATTATGTGAGGTACAAGCACTTCAAAACTAATTTACTCAGAAATGGACATATTTAAATCAAATCATGAAGGCAGCTTAAAAACCTACATAGAGGATCCCTAATTAACAGAGGGGGTGGTCATGCGACCAGATTGTGATATACTTGTGCCCCTGTGAATATCGAAAAGGGGAAAAAAATAGAATGGCATATACTTACATGATGGTATTGCAAAAGGTGGGGTGGGTGCTTGTGATGGGCCAAAACCCTTCATGTTAAAAGCCGAAACTCTGACATAGTACTTTACACCCTACAAAGGCAGAAAAACATATATACTTCACAAAATAGAAAGCGAAGGCTTTTGTTGTGTGTCATGCATGCTTATACGGTAGGTGCTAACTGGTATTAAACCAACACAGCTCTTCTCAATATACAAACATTAGCCTTGTCTCTTCTCAAACCTGAAACAAAATGCCACTGCAAGTCAGTGAAACACTTAAACTGTTAGACCTAATATGCATCAGGATTGCATTTGTTTGGTTCATAAGTGATGCATTAAAGTCACACCTACAGCCACTGATTACATTTTGGTTAATACAAAATTTAACACTTGTTGGTAGTATTACTATGCAAAACAAACTCAGGTGGTCCTCTGAGTATTTGTTTACCTGTTTAAGACCATGTATTCGGTAGGATGGATACCTCACATCATACAAAATGTGTTCTCCAGCTGGAGGGAAGAAATCCTCTGAACAACTCCATTCAACTGAAAGCACATTCAAGAGAGAGCACCATGAGGGGAATTCAACTCTGGACAGTTAAAAGCTGATTTTTTTTTTATTTGCTTCAAATGGGGCTTGGAGTTGTAAAGTTCTTTATTTTCAACCTTTTTTGCGTGATATTTTTCATGTTGATTATTTAATTCTCAGAAGCAGCATTTTTACCAAGCTGGCTTATTTCACTCTTTTTTAATCACATGGTGCAAAAATCCCCTGTATTAAAAACCCCACAGCTAGAAGGAATTCTTAATTCTTACCTACTGCATTAGCAGGAACATGACATACATTAAGCAAACCTAGGGATAATGAAGTAATGGTTTATGACTGCTTACTTTTGTATCTGGTTACGGCAGCCCCATTAGCATTGAGAGGTTCTTCAAATCGGACTTGTAATGAAGTGCTGCTGGCTGTGCTGAGTGTGACACAGGCTGGATGGTCAGGCACTCCTGTCATCAAAATTCATGATTATCAGTCATCATTACAATATCACTTTCATTTGTGCTTACAGGTAAACTGGCTTCATGATGAATTTTGTCCTTTAGCAGTTTTTTAAAAAAGAATCCTGTTGAACAATCAATCAAAGTCTCAAGGTCAAAGCTGAAAGAATGTAAAAGTGCATGCCAGGTGCAAAATTGTTACATTTGAACACATTTCCACAATCAACTTTGTCTCTTTGTGAAAGCGGTAAAAATGAGTTTTGCCCAGGGTTTTGCTCTTAACTGCTAAGGTTGTGCCTATGGAACACAACTTTGTCTCTTTAAAAAAAATAGAAAATGCGATTTAGTTGAACTTTGCCCTATGGAGGTTGTTGTGATTTGGCTGATTTCAGTTTATTTGGTGAAGAATGATTACACCAGGTTGTAATCACACAGCCAGGTTGATTTTGCAAAAACATGCTGTCAGGTGCTTTTATATTCCTCCCCCCCCGACAAAAAAAAAGATCAGACCAAATCTTAAATGGTGATAAACAACACAAGAACCGTCACACACTGGCACCTCTATGTAATTGGGCCTTCCATGCCTCCATGTTGGTACATTATCATCCTAGCCAGGGTAATGCAATGCCGTGACAAACTCAATTGATGTTACAGAACCTACTTAAGATACATTACAAACACACCTGGGTACTATGACATGTAAGTATGACGGAAGGAAACAGAGCACTGGTAATGAGAGGAAAAAAATTCTGATCCAAAAACACAAGTTTTGAAACACATTTTATCAAGTACAGATTCACTCCGATAAGATACAATGTAAAATTTGTCAGTGTACAAAAGGTATAACATGCAAAAAAGGAAATAGCATTATAAATTCTTCATAGCAGAACCAGATGCCAAAAACATACTCATTCCACTCCATCACTAATTGATTCATGTTATACAATCCCTAAAAACACTGGCTGCAGAAACATTTCAAAGAAATGCTCTAAGCACTTGTGATGTTGTAGGCATAACCTGTCACATTGCGAAAAAAGTCAACAATGCAGACAAGCGACTGAGAAGTCGGGGGAGGGGGAAATCCACAGCTACAACAACTTTCTGGGGTGTACTTGGAAAGTGAAAACATGGAGATCAGTCAATCCAAGCAAAGGTGGCATATCTGTATTTGTCCCTCTGCAAAGCTGATACTTCGGCCCTTTGTTGCCCTGCTTTAACTACAATTACACAACATACACGGAAAACACCACAAGGTCTGAAAATGAAGATTGGACGATCGAGAAATTGTGTTTTGATGACAAAACTGCATGGCAAAATCAATGTCCAATTCCCAGCTAAGATTGCAATCAAAACAAAAGATTAAGCGGGGTCTTATCATTCCCCTTCTAATCCATCTGACCTTTGTTAATTACTAAAACAATTCTTGAAAGAAAGAAAAAAAACCGATTCTTTTGTGAAATAACATCATACAATATTGCAAACTCCAAATGTTATGACTTTAAAACCTGAGCTATCCTATTTGACAAATCCCACAACTGGTGAGGTCAGCAGTAGGGATGAGATTGGAGGATGAAAAAGTATCAAAAAAACATCCAGTCACTGGATCGTAACAGGGACAGCTGTTAAATGCCGTGACTGTTCAGGACTTGAAAGAGCTAACAATTGGCTTGAGCTGTCTCCCAAACGGCCACTGTATGATAATAAGCATCTTGCAGAAAGTGCAAATAACAAGCAAAACCTAGTTGACGAAATCCCTGATAAATGGGTCAAAACTATTGAATTTTAGGGAAAAAAACATTAAAAATTCTTGGACATGATATTTTGATCACCTAGTGAATGGATTCCATTCTGCCACAGCTCACTTGGCCTGCACATTAAGTCAAACTTTTGGGTATCAAACCCCTGCAGAGATTCATGTCTTTTTGCTTTTTATTGTGATTGTACTTACTTGCATGCTCAAAGCCAGCCTTCATCCTTTTCAGCAGTCGAAACCTCCACTCCCAGTCGCGCAAATGCTTCTCAAGATCCTGAATCAACAAACACAGAACCACCACACAACTTTATATGGTAAATCCCATAGATAATCCAATGTGCAAGCAATTGATGCTTAAACAGTGTGGGCAGCAACACCCACATTTTCAGAAATCAATCCTGTTTTGCAGGTTCATTTCTTGACAGGTTCGTCTCTCAAACTTTCAGTTGATTATCACCTAATACCTTGTTATACATCTGCGAGTCAACCATAAATCAAGTGCTTATACACCTTGAAGGTGTGTACAGTATTACTGAATGTACTCAAATTACAGACAGGAAACATTAAGCAATTATTTCATAAATGTTTATTTACATGTATCCATCTTCAAATGAAAAGTTTCAAAAAGAATGGCAAAAACCTAAGCCAACAAGACCAAAAGTGTCACTCAGCTCAGAGAAAAAAAAGTCACTTCAGTATAACAGCTGGCCATACAAATAAAATGTTCAAGAACATGATTAAAAAGCCAGTGCATCTGAATATGAGCTACTGATATTTATTATCAGCGCTAAGTTCATAAGGACACACCATCCTCAAAGCAAATAATGGGTACTAGGGGTGCTTGATCACTGGCCGGTTGGTCGATATGCAGAATTGGCCCATATTTGCCAAACTACCACATTCCCATAAGTGTCCAACAGGGGAATTTAAGTAACTCCGAGCATTAGAAGCTAGACTTCCACACTAATTGGGTTTCAATTTACATGCACTCCAGAGTGATGAACAATGTCTATTTGCACTGAAACTACTGAAGGATTTCTCTCTTGGGAAAAGTTCAGGAAAATGTGTGTGACTTCTCTTCTTCAATATCTCCAACGGTTCTATTCGCCTTACAGAGTACATTTCAGGCACAATATAATTTTTAAAATAACACTACGACTTTGAGAACTTTTTATTCTTATTCCCGGCAAATAAAACACTCAGTGGAAATTTACTGCCTTGTAAATGGAACGTACTGTGAATGTTCATGTTCATTACATGTATGTTTGATTGTCAGTTTTCTGGATCACCAAAGGGAAATGATGATGAACATATTACTTTTTGGCAGTCTGTATCTCTTCTAATGATTAAATGAACAAACACAGTACGTGCCAGTTGTTTATTTCCTTCCCATTGGTGTGTTAGCAAGTCATCAGAAACACAAATGCAGCCATTGAAAATGGTACTACAGAGTCCTTTTCCATTTATCAATGCAGAGTTTACAATGTGAACAAATAGAGATCTACAGTAGGTACTCTTCATTTGGTCTCTGTCAACCTTTACATTCTCATCTTTCCTGCAAATACTATTATTACTAATTATAATAGTTTCCACAGAAGCTTCCAGAGCCGAAAGCCTCACAGGGATTGTGGTAGTAAGTAGTTATAATGTGCTATGCCCATAAATCTCTGAAATGTTCCCAAGTTGCCAGATGTTGAGAGCAACAGACCAGTGACTGGCTTTCATACTGCTGAGAAATTATAGATCAATTCATTTAAGATCTCATATTCGAACTTCAAGTCTAAAATAAAATCAGGGTAAAGCAGAATCTATGTCTGTGTAAAGTTAATTCAACATGACTTGGTCAAACAGTTTTAGAGCTTCATCATTTCTGGGAGAAGCTGCTGCTGTGCATTACACCGTACTTGCCCCAGCATGGTTAGGCCCAATTTCAAGCCTTACATAAACCAAACTGATTAAATTAGCATTAAATCAAACACACTAAATGTAATTTCACAAATGCCTGCCTCTCCAAGACTAACACAGCTATCCTCATTTTTGAAAAAAAGAAAAGAAAAAGAAGAAGGTCTTCACCTGGCACCTGTTGCCTTTTAACGGTGCAATGTTAAAGAATGGAAAAGAAAACAAATGTGAAATTCTGAAATCAATTTTTTTTTCACTAAAAGTTTATCAGGATCATTTTGGAGGCTGAAAATTTTGTTGACCAACTGTTCTAAATACTTCAGTTGAAAAGTGATAATTTTTAAATGGTAAAACCTGGTTGAGTAAAGCAGGAGAATTGAGGGAGTCGGTGTTGTTGTAGTCAAGTACTTTTCTGGTACCAAGTTCTCTGCCAAATAATTGAACTAGTTAGGAGGGAACAAAGCTGAAGTACATAGGCCTTTGATGGTACACGCACAAAGGTAAGATTACAAAGTAAAATGATGACTTCAGACTATCGCTGTTTAATAAAAATTTAGTTTTTTGGACAAAGTACTTGGCTGAGTACTTTTCTCCTTAAAACTTAAATTTTACAAAACTGGGAGTGTCTGAAGTCTTACATTCAGTTTGTAATCTTACCTCTGTGCATTTACCATCAAATGCCTATGTACTCCCGCTTTATTCACACTTAACCAGTTCAATACTGAATTAGGCAGTATCTGACTACAACACTGGTGGGAGTAAATATTACAAAAATTAATTCTTATTTTAAATAAATCAGAAAAGAAATCTAAGAAATACATCAGTGAAAAGGAGAAATATTTGAGGCTTACATACCTTGGAGGAGCCTGTGGGACCTGTAGCACTGTTCAGCCCGATGTTGACAAGACGAGACGTCATCTCCTGTACCCGCATTTCTGCCTCGTTTATTAGTGTGTTGAGTTTGCTGGCTCTAGCATCTTTCATAAGAACTGCTCAAATTGATGGAAACAATCAATTTTGTTGCTCATTATGAGATTCCTGGAGGAAAAGAAATGGCTGGTTTCCCTGAAACTACTGAAAACCAACTGATGTTGACCAAAATCAGCCTCATAGTACCCGGTACGGATGCCATGTATGAACAATTGATTTTGTTGCATAAACCACTAATACGAGTTACTGCGGTAAACATACCACACGCACACACTGCATCTTTGCTTACAATGAGGTTACACTTAGCTGACTTCATCTGAATGTGCACAAAGCACTATAAATTTCAATATGGCAGCCTAAGAGCCTCAAGCATGTGTCCAAACTTTCTATGTCAAAATTGGGGGTAAGAAGGTACAGATCAACAAAAATGTTTTGTTTTTCCTATTACCCAACATAGAAGTCAACTTACATCTCGGGTTTTCTCTTGCACCACAGCTCAGCAGCAGTCTGGCCATGGGCATGTTGTTGGTCATGACAGCAATGTCCAGCACTGTAAATTCATCCTCATTGACCTGGTTGACATCCAGTCCGTTGGTTTCCAGTATGAGCCTGGCTGTGTCTAAGTCTTGGTGTTCCACTGCATCGAATAATGCTAAAACATAAACAGTCAAACCGTAAGGTTGGTGACTTCAAAAAAAGGGTACATGGTGAAACAGGGTGCCACATAATTTTTTGCTGACCAAAAGCTGATGTGTTTGGACCATGCTTGAGCAAAACAATCGAAGAAAATGAAGTTTATGTGTATATTGAATAGAAAAAATTAAGCCAGCATGTTGACAGAAAACTTGACTGAACTGAACAATTAATTTGAGTGAATCGTGTTTTTTGTTATATTTCACACACACAAAATAGATTTCAAAACCAACCTAGCGGGGGGGGGGGATATCATGTTTATATTCACTCACAGACTAATCCCTGGCTGATTGGCTGATTGCATGCATGGTATCATGAGAGCAGGAAACATTTTAATCAGCCCTCATTCTTATGGAGCAACTTTATTTTTATTCAGAATTTACAAATCACTTTGAGATCTGGCAATATTCCACAATGGAAAAGAAATCGAACATAATGAGAGACAACCACACTTAAGTTGCACATGTTATACTGGGCTAAAGGGACAACCACAAAGGCTTGCAAATTTAGCAGTTTCAGAACTTGCCTTCCAGTCAAATGATGGCGTCAATATCCACTCAAAAGTGATTTTTATCGTCACTGGCCTAATACAGAAAGTAACGGCTTGGCTACCAGGTGATTGGCAAGCCCATTGTTTGAATGTAAGCTAATTCACTGAATGCAGTGACAATTTTGCACAATCATGCATACTGTAATGTAGTACATTTCCCGATCACAGTTGATTTCAGTGAGTTCTTACAACTCATTTTTCATGTATTATACAGGTCCATCAAGCAAAGCCCAGAGAGCCCTGCCCTACCTTGGCTATCTGTCATCTGTTTAGAGTATCTCTTGGTCCTGTCCTTGCCTATGCCAGCCCCAGTGTCCACTTCCGTGTTGCTGCTGCTCCGCTTCTTGGCCGACCAGCTGCGGTGCAGCTTCTGGGGGGCAGTTGGTGAGGGAGGAATGGAGGAGGCCTTGCTGTTGTCACTTGTCTGCTGAAGGAGGTTCTCCATGCTGTGAGCCTTCCTAACATCTCCGCTGCAGAGGAGAGACATTTAGGGGACAAACATATATGCAGTAAATGCTTGGAGGTCATTTAACGAGTAGAGAAGCAATAAAAGATTTTAACAAGTCTTCTAGGTACTTACACATAAGGTGTTGTGGTAGCAATCAAGCCTATCAAGCGATGACACTGTATTAACTGAATACATGCACTTTGACTGAATGGGAATGCAAACTTCCCATTGTCCATGCAAAAATTTAAATAACAAATGTCTGCAGAAGAACTTGGACTGGAGATTTATTCCTCCAAGTTACTCCAATTCCAACCCATAATTTAATGTATGTAAATGTACTCCGAGTCACTATCTAGTTTCTCAGACATATAATCTCCTACTTTGACATGTTACATTTCATTTCATATCTAGGGCACTTTGAAAAGGACTCAATTTCCACAAAGGTGATGGGCAATTACATATGTATGTCAATACTTTTGCTAGAAAGACAATCAAGCACTACAAACTAAAATGTTTGAAATGTGAGTAACTCAAATGAGCTCCTACGCGTTAAAGAGAAATGCATGCTTTACTCATAAATCAAACAGTTCACCTGTTCATTAGCTCTGCTTGCATTTAATTGGGTGTGCAGAACTTTTTAAAGCTAATCAAACAGTTCACCTGTTCATTAGCTCTGCTTGCATTTAATTGGATGTACAGAACTTTTAAAAGCTAATCAAACAGTTCACCTGTTCATTAGCTCTGTTTGCATTAAATTGGATGTGCAGAACTTTTTAAAGCTCATGCTACCAGTACCTGCTTCGGCCTTTCTACAATACAATAATATTCAATACGTCAGAGTAACCTAGCCCCTCTAGATTTACCCTTGTTTTCATTCCACTGCAAAGGTGGTTGTGTGTCTTTAATGCTGCAAAAAGTTTAGGTTGGGATGCATGGAGGGTAGCTACATGTATGTCCATGCGCACAATCAATTACTAGAGCTTTTTCCAACCTTTCAGAGGTTACTCTTTGATTGAACCCCAACAGCATTCTATATAAATTAAGAACAACTTAGCTTGATCAAAAACAACTGGGTTTTTATCTTCCCTATTGGAATAATACTACCGTGGGACTTGATCCTACATGTGCGGTGTAAATCCCCAGAAGACTACATTGATACTGTGCCACCTGAGCCCTCACTTCATTGTAAGTCTCCAAAGTGTCTGAGTTAAAGAGCTGCTTCAGAGAGGTTTTGAAAGCCACAGATATGCCTTGTGGCAAGGAATCATGCCAACAGTCACGAGGCCAGCAAATTATATATACATGTGCTGGCAATGATGCAAACCCGAGAAATGTAGATTAATGGACAGCTCCTACATGATGCAGCTTTCCAGCTTAGGCAAATCCTCTCCACTGAATTTTGATTGGCCTGACAAAATTCCATTTGTTTTTGTAAGCCATCATCCACATGGGAATATTATGCTGATGGCTTGACCACATACATGTAAATGTACATGTACAGGTCTAGTATAAATGTACATGTACCCGTACGCTAGACCTCTAATGAAGAAAGGTGAAATGCCAGACCCCACTGAAAGTTGGTCAATTTAAGAATAAAATTGTCCATCACAAATTATTTTTCTGTAATAGGAATAGACATTAAACTTTCGACAATGTTATTTGCATGCAGATGAACTACAGAGTTGAGAACTCAGTATAACTCTGTGTGCAGACAGGTACGCAGGCTTTGTACAAGTTGTAACAATTATCGTTTCTAACATACTTGACCTAGATTATGTGAATCCCTAACAATACATTTATCAGTAAGAGTATGTGTGAGTCTGAGGAGGGCAGGCAAATTAGTCACAAGAAAAATGACTACTGATGTAGGAAATGAGAGAGGAATCACCAGGACAATGTTAGTCAAACCATGGAGGTAGGAAAACACCTCCAAGGGCAAACTTCATACTATACCCATGCAGTTACCAATGAAAGAGAAATATCTAGTGTTTAATCAACAGTAACATATTGAATACATGTATGTCTGTACACCAAAATCGTTACCAGCACTCCACGGTATTATCCCTTGCCCAATGCTTCTTTAGTTCCTCCTTGCTTCCCCCTCCCACGAGCCAATCCACCCATGATCTACCATTCAGGCTGCTGCTGCTGCCAAATCAGTGCAACATATTTTAGTGATCAATGGACTGCTTTCAAGAGGGTACATTTTCATTCATACAGACTGCAACAACAGGGTTGGAAAAAAATTGGTCCTGTAGCCAGAGACACAGGAGTAAACATTTCAGGCTTGATTGCACTCTGAACATGGTCCACTGCTCCTGTAGGACGTTTTCCACTGTGTCATGGGGTTACACTGCAAAAATAATCATCTGGAGATTCATACGCATACCACAGACTTAAATAAATCACCTAAGTGTAAACCTGCCATATAGCTTAACTTCTCATTGGTACATAAATGTCACAAAAATCAAAGTACGATTTAAATATTTTCTTCAGATGCTCCTGTTCTAAACCCTCTGTGCAATTTGCAGGAATGGATTTTTTTGGCTTCCTCTTATGATTATCAACAACACCTGATACAGTAATGTACAAGTAATACAAGGGTGAAAAGGTTTCAAGCATACATGTCACAAAAGTTGGCAATTAGATTTTGAAAAGGTGTTGAAAAAGTTTTCAATGCAGCTTATATTTAGTGAAGTAGATCTCTTCCCAATCATATTTCAATTTGATGTGGTTCGTTTGTTTCCACATAAAATTGTATAAATAATGTCATTCAAATCTTGCACTGTTGCAAGCTTGGTACTACAAGTACAAAGGAGACACGGTGCATGGGAATAGGGAAAAATCCTACATATGTACATGTACAATGTAGGTGACAGATCTATTCTTACTACGGTATCTCACGTGGGCAAGTGTGAAACCCATCAATTGCTTTCTTTTCCCCATTCCCAATCCCAAAGAATTTATGATCTGTGATTGACATACTTCTAAGGTGCACAACATGATCACCTCACAACATATACTGAATACATTCAGATTAAGTTCAACAAAAATTCGTTCAGGAAAGAACCATGTCCAAGACCACTTTAGTTGATTTTAATTTTGACAGAGTATACATGTACATGTACCCTACTACATGCCTGATTCACCCACATTTTTGTACATGTAAGGTCCCTGGTAAATATTTGTGCACAAGCAAGTATAAAATAAAAAAACATGATCGACAGTGCAGGCACATTGGAAATCTCGCAAAGAAGACTACTGCATGAAGATGAAACTTCTGACAACACACATGGAATGCTGGTCTCTCAAGGCAAAAAGTATGGCCTGCTAATTTTATTTTAAGTTACTGCATTGAAATAAGAGCCTAAAATAGGATTCCTGAATTTCAAATGATCAAAGTGGTGATTATAGTCATTTTTATGAGATGTGGAATGAATGAAAGTACACGTACATGTAAGTATATGGAAATGCGTGTTATGTCAAGTGCATGTACGGTAAAATAAAACAGTGCAAAAATGTAATGTGTTAGCAATGAAGTCTCACTACAAACAGGCTGTTCTACAATAAGAGGGAGGATGCACAAGTGATCTTACACAGCCTTTATGATTGTGTCACCATCGCCCTCAGGCATTAGAATGGGCCACAGCCAGTGGTCCAAACTAATAGGGTCGTCCTCACTGTTACTGTATGTAAACAGAAAGTTAAAAACAAAAAAATAACAGAGTGCAGACACAACAAAAAGAAAAGCAATTAAAAATGAAAGAAATCATCCATGTATGGAAACATGCACAATTTCAAATGCTGCTAAGTTACTTCTGGCAACAATATCAACTCACAGGAAAGTGTGTTGTGTGACTCAAGAAAGATAAGGTTCTTTGTTAAACAAACTCAGCAAACGGAGGAAATGCAAAGCAACATGTTTCTTTTCATAATTAGTTTTCAAGACAGTAAAGATAAAAATCTGCGATATAATCCATTACCAAATCTAAATCAATCTTTGAAATCTGTTTAATTTGGGGGTTATGGTAGAATGTTAACAAAAGACAAAAAACAAAAACAAGTAACCAAATAACCAAAAATAGCTTACTAATGAAACATGAATACCGTGGCATAAATTTTCCTGTTCTCAATATAAAAGTTTTTCCTGTTCTCAATATAAAAGTCTAGTATAAAGACAAGATCTATTCTGACTCTAACATTTTCCTCTCATAATTAGTTTTTCGCAACCTTAATAACCTATCCTAGTCAGGCATCCTGTCATGATACATGGTATTATCCAGATGTCATAATATCATGATACAAAGCAGTGCCAACAGTCAAAAAGAGCACCAAGTTGAAATAGTTATACTAATGTTGAAGTTCCTAACTGAATGCTATAAAAATTTATCATTGCAATGTAAAATAATGTGTTTACTTACAAATCTTCAAACTTTGCCAAATGTGACAGTTAAGCTTCCACAACCAAGACTCAAACCAGCTTGAACCAGCATATAAGCCAGGCAAGCCACAAGGTAAATAAGACAGCTTGTTAAGTTGTTGTTAACTTTAAGCACACAGTTCTTGCACAAACACAAACAGCCAACAATATTTGACACAGCATGTTCACAGGAAGCCTGTGAACGCTCACATAAAATACCTCTCAAAAACCCTCTGGTGGTCCTGGCTACAAGTGTACAGTACTGTGGGTCAGGACAAAAGCAAGGGCCTGAATGGGTGCTAATGGGGTGCATGATTCTTTGACAGCCCTATGAAAGGGTGACAGGTTTGGGGCAAATTAGGGGGGAACTTTCTTTCACAGAATGATCGTTCTTGCCAAAGGGACCCGGGTAACATGAAGCCAAACAGTCCCATCCGCAGGCTTTTCTAATCAGATAATCTTAAGGACTAGCTGTAGTTGATTCATCCATATGTACATGTACATAAGTGGTTTTTTAGGCATACATGTCTCAATTTAGACAGCACTGACACTAGTTTGCCTGGTGCCTGAGGTCATTTCATTTACATTACCTCTGGAGACCACAAAATATAAAATACAACAGCTCTTCCACCAACATAAGGCAAGACAGACAAGACTCCTAGCAAATCTTTAGTTTTTAGATCAATGAAAATAACAATGTCATCATAAAAAATGCTGATGTTAGTATTTGACGTTCAACCTTCACAACTTCTGCAACTTATTCCACAAGCTCAGCCCTTTAATTACAGTATGTTAAAACACAAACAAGTTTTTTCTCCTGTTCCAATAAACTCAGCTTTTACATAAGATTTTTTTCCTTCACAAGGTCCCGGGTATCTCATGAATGCTTGGCATAACAAAGATTTAGTTTACTAGTGTGGAAAAACTCTGCACCATTATTTTAAAATTCCTTATTGCTTCATACATTGCCCTTTGAAAACCAGGTTGCCTGATATTACTAAGGAAATAAATATGTGCTTGGCCAATGTGCATTTAAACCCAACTCTGGAGAATGGACGCAACTAATGCCCAGCCGCAGGTGAGGGCATTATCAGCATTCATTCTCCTGAGCAAGGTCTTAAATGTTAGTTTAAGGCTGGCCAAGCACATATTTATTCCCATTCATACCTTTTTATTTAGAGAGTCAAAAGAAGTCAACATATGATGGATTACCAACAATATTGTTTTAAAATTTTACTTTTATTTTCCCGAACACCCCCGTTCCTGTTGAAAGTTGTCCGACAGAATCTCCTTGTATATGGACTTAGTGCGCGTGGGGCGTTCTGTGTGTTGCGTCGCACACAGACTCATGTCCAATAGGGATGGAGAAAACTGTTTTGTATCCAGCTACCAGCATGTTTTACGCAGCAGGCATAATCACTTCTCATCGGGCATTATCAAATGTTAATACACGGTCAAGTTGCACGTTGTTGAATAGGGAGACTGTCTGAGGTATTTAGGAATGGTAAGTAAGAGGCCTGTAAAGATAATTACCCATGTCACATACATGCACTGTTCTTCATAATAAATCTACAGGGATTTAGTTCTTTGGTTTTTCACACATCCATTTTCATATCCCATCAACTGTTGAATAACGTGAAAGAGAGGACTTTTGTCACATTGTTCAAATTGTATTTTAAAGTAGAAAGAAACTGGGTGTACATATTGTGTACACTGTGCCATAAATTACTAACCCAAAAAGTATAAACTAAAATTAAAATAATATTCCAGACGGCATTCCCCTGACAATGGAAATAGTATCCTGTCCAAAACATGGAGTCCACTGGTTTTTGCTGAACCCAACTCACTCACAAAAAGATACAACCTCAAACCATCATCTTATATGTTCACAATGAAAATGTGACCTTTTTCACCACTCCTAATATGTTAATTCCCTGTTTCATAATCACTTATATCCTAATTCATGAACACTCCTGGAATGAAACACCCAAATAACAAAAGCGGTTTTGACCTCAATGATCTACTTTGAAATGAATGCTGCTACACCTAGTGCATGGGCTTACAAAAACTTGTACTGACATTGCTCCTATGTGTGTACACACAGTTTGACAATGAACGGGCCACTTGGTTGAATCATCCATGTCCAATGACAAGCTTGAGCACACTGCGCTGGCAGAAGCTGTCGTCAGATTGTAAATTCAGTATCATGTCCAATGACTGGAGGTAGTCCCTGTAATTATTTTATATATCATTGCTCTACTGGAGAGGAACTACACCAACCCTGATCTAATGATAAGCATGTTCATTTGATTCTCCAAAGACTTTATCAAAGAGTAAGAAATGTGATGTGCAAGACCTTCAGGAATCTACAACGTACTGGGAAAACAAGCAGACTGCAATACTGGAAGAAATTGTGGGCATTCTTAAATGTAAGCCTATGCATTTCAGCTTTGGGCCACTGATTTCTGTGACATTCTGAGGTTGTTCTGCTTATTTCAGCAAGCTGGACTGAACTACTCACCCACATCTGTTTGTCTTAACTTACATTACCTACGTGTACATGCAAATTTTGTACAAACCCAGTAAGCTCAGGATTCTTTCATTGTGGGTTGTGAAATCACGTACATGAATTACCCTTGATAACAAGTCACAGTCACAGCCAGAGTTAGAATAAATCTTGGTACCACATTCAGAGATGAGATATGTGGGTATGCCTTCACCGGGTAAAGGGGACATTTTCTTTTGCCTTTTTTAGGCAAATTAGGAACCACTTGTGGGCACATTTCTCTGTGCCCATAACATTTTCAGTCTCCAAAAAAAAGGTGAAATGTCATGTGTTTGTCCCCACAACTACGAAACTAGAACATGTGTACATGTGGCTGGTTAGTAAGTAAACTCTCTGTAGTGTGTACATACTTCTTTAGAGTTGTTTTCTTCACAGAGTCATGCGAACCAATGTAAATTCAAGGCTACGACCAGTTGATGGAAGAATCATCTTTACATGGCAAATCTACCAGACAGCCATGTTGGAGGCCACTTACAACAAATCCATACAAAATGTTAAAATACTGAACAAGCGGGGGCAATCCCTCTTGATGTGATCAGCCCGAATTCATTGCTTACCTGTCCACGCTGATGGAGCGCTGTCTGCAGGGAGGCTTGTCACCTTTATTCTCCCTCCTATCTCCCTTCTGGCTAAGCCGGCGAGCCAGCTTGACCAGCCCACTGCCCCCATTGCTCTTGCCGGACTTTTCATCATCCTGTCGAAAAAAATGGAAATCAAGAGGCGATATTCATTAAACCCCAGCACTGACGCTTGTCTTTTTTCATCAATTATCTGTGAATTGCAACATTCATCACAGGCAGAAAAAAAAATAATTAAGGGTGGGATGGTGAGGTGATCATATTAACAACTTCAGTGACAAAGCAAGAGGGATGTTTTCTTGAGACCTTTGAACCACAGCTTTTTCACAAAATGTTCATCACCAGTTGAAAGTTTAAGCTAGAAAGCTGGCACAAGAAGAGGATTTCATCTTTTCATATCAGGTACATGTACATCCTTGGTCAAAATAAAAGAGAACATTTAATATTTCAATTTGATTCACTGAAGTTTTAGCCACATTGATTAGTTCTTTTGCTAATTTCTATGAAATAAATTTTGCTTGAGAAACAACTTAATACAACTTAATAAATGTACATATCAAACACTTTAAATAAAAGTGCTGCTCCCTCCAAAGTGGGTTGTCATAGACATGAAACAGTTATGTGCATGTACTATAGCACATTATCTTTGTTCATGATGAATTCGTAATGTCTGTAAGTTTCTCTTCCGACAGATTATCTCTAATGGCAACAGCTTTTTATGGTATTTCAACTGTAATGTAGCACGTTACACTCTTGAAAATGACCCATTCCAAAGCCAAGAATCAAACAGCACAATTTTAGCACCTATAGCACCTGCATCACAACCGCTAAAACATGGTAAGAAATCATGAATTATGAAAAATTCTATATAAAACAGGTAAAAAGGGCAAACTTTGCTATGAGGCCAAGAACTCCATCATCTGTTTTAAAAAGTGGGTTATTCCAAACCTTGAGGGAATATTCACAGGCGATGTGAGCAGCCTTACATGCAGGTGTTATTCCATAGCCAGGGAGATGCACGAGTAACACCCTGTACACCACCCTTAGCTGGGAACAGCACATACGTACGTGCCACTTTGGCCATCGGTCGGATGCAGGCCAACCAATCCAATAAACAGTGTCAAGAGTACCATCTGCATCCCGTAGGCTTGTGGAGCAGGATGCACCACACTCTAAATGGTTCACCTGATACCCAGACCCATCTTTTGTACTAGCCGACTGATTTATCTTTGTTTTTAAGACCCCGTGCCATCCAGTGGTACGGGCAATAAGACACAGGCTACAGGAGTTAGACAGATGAAGGATTCATGTCCCCTATAAAGAAACACATGCGGAGCAGGTGGATCAAAGTCTTCATTTATGAACCAGTTACTCCTGTCTAAGGCACATCTATCAAAGTGTTGCTTCATAATTTTTATCCAAGAATGTCCCAATAACTCTCCCTAATAGCTGATCAAAAGTAACATTTTGTACTCATCCAAAATATGATGTTTGAACAGATCTCGCAATGAGTATGAAGCAGACCTGGGCTGCACAGAGGACTGAGACTATTCACTAAACCAAGCTGGGCTTGTTTCCATCTTCAGACTTCAACGACACAAAGATGCCTTAATTGGAAATTTTCACATTAATGTGGCCATGATAGATGAAGCCAGAGACAGCCCTCTTCTCATTTGGTCTGAACATTCAAACCTCAATGGTTTTGGATGGTGAGATATGAAACCAAAGCTGGAAACATAAATAAGCTCCGCCAGAAGCCTGCGGCTGTGTCTATGAATGTAGCATACATATATGTGGCTATGGCTTTATTTTTTACCGACAAAGCACCACTCAGACTATCCGTAGCCACGGGGGAAAAATTAATTATTTCATATATACTGAAGCAAAGACACGGCACTCTCCGAAATGTCAAGACAATATGCTCATCGTCATCGCTGACTCCAAATTAGAGATCTTTTATAACAGACCTATACTCTTTTTTCTCAAATGTGGGGTGGAAGAATTTCATTGTATACATACACTTACATTGAACTTTGGTGATACTGCATAGTAAGGTTGTGACGTAGCACGGGCAAAGGGTGTATCATCAATGGAGGGAGAGGGTGGAGGATTCCTAGCTTCATCATCTTCCAATCTCCAGGCAGCTCCTGGAGAAAAATGGAATCAATTCACAGACAAATTAGTGTGGGAAAGAAAAATGAACAAGACAAGTGCCGACTGACAATGACTGTACTAACAATGATTTGTAATAGAGGACAACATGCATATGCATGAGAGGGGTCATATATCACAGAAAAAAAATAGGTGTCTGAAATAAAAGGCCTGTATGCATATGCCAGACGCTGCATATATTTTGGCCTTTAAAAGGCACTGTGCAATTTCAAAACTTAAAGAGGGTGACACTGTACTGGCTCAGATATTTTATGTTGATTACTGTGTTGATTAGCTCAAATACAATGTACTTGGTAAGGGGATGTCAAATTACATTTAATGTACCTGTACTTGTTAGCCAGTCCAAATAGACCTGCATAATAATAGACTCCTGAGGAAATTGATATTTTGAATGTATTCCAATCACCCATGGAAATTAATCCTCTCTGAGCACGGTAGCAGACTGAGGAAACTTACTGACATTTACTTCATAAAAGTTCTAATCCGGTCAATGTTAAGTGTCATTATATGCACAAGTACATGTACTGTGCATCAAGACTTAATTCTAGCATGCAGACTTTTCTCACACGTTATCACTCATACAGGTGTATGAATATACATTTTTGCAAACCCACACTTTCCAATACCTACACTCTAAGGAAATTGTCCACGTATGGAAAACTAAAAGCTTGTACCTGAACAGTAATGGGCTACATGTAGTTCAGTATTTCAAAAAGCCAAGGTCTGAGCTGATAGGACAGACTATCACACACAGGCGTAGCTGTTCCTGAATAGCCTCGTACTGAGCATGCGTCGTTATAACTGGCTTTTTATAATGATCCATACGACATATTCCAACGAAACACAACAACTAAACAACACTGGGTAACTTGTTAAGTGTTAATTGTTCCTATGTTGATTTAAAAAACATCCATGATGAGACTGAAAAAGGAAAACTGCTGAACATATCTGTGCCATTAGAAAGTGTTTTAAAGCAAGATTGACCATGCATGCAGACAGGATAGTTTCACTGCAGAACTCACTTGGTGCCACAACTAAGATGAAACAACTTCATACGGACAGCAACTCTGAATATATCTAAATAGAAATGTGCTTCGAGGCATCCACATGTGAAATGCATACATGTAGGTGAACATGAACAGAGGACATGTGACACTATTATTTTTAATGGAGGGCTCTATCTAAAGTCTGCACCACCGCCTGCATGTCCCCAGCCAATCACACAACTTCCACATGTACTTCACATAAGCTATGGTAGATCTGCTAAAAATTATTACCAAGAACCACTACCACCTGCAATCAGGTGAACAGGTGCTGGCAGTCACTTTAGTACTCTTAAGAGTAAGGTTCCTGTGTGCCCTGTGTCTCTGAGTCCTCTGTGGGCTTTCACAAGTGAACCCACTAGTGAACTGTACACCTGGTCCTCTGGTGCCACACAGGTATCGCAGGTCCCAGCATAGTCACAGAAAAGAGATGGTCTCCATCTGGCAAGATTTGTGTGAGAGTGATTTACGGTTCACATGGCAATGTGATGGCAGCAGTAATGAATCTGAATGTTTTTTATCAACATGCTACCTTTCATGAGCCTGCTGTTTAACAAGTGATGCAGCATGAAATACCCATACATGTACACGGAAGTCAAAATAGACAAGTGCAGCATATAAACAATGCAAAAAGGTTAACCATTAACTCAGAGATAGGTGTATGCTAACACAAAACATTATACCACAAAATGAGGATGCAAGTTATGGAAGATTACTGCAACCCGAAGTTATAGAAATGTGGATTGTACAGTGCAAATATGAGAGAACAAGCCTTATTTCTACTTGAAGGGCAGAAACTGGTTCAGTCCTCAGCAACAATTAGCAAACATGCTCACTGGAATGCAAGAATCACAATACTTGTTGATGTTGTAAACAGTTTTTTATATTCAAGGCTTACTTACAATCTGGGTAGCAGACTTAAGGTTTGGACTTGACCTTATCGTATTATTCAATTAACGTAAACTTCACACTCCATCACATCAACTCACCTACACACCGGTCAATAACCAGGTCTTCAACAAGATAATAAGCCTCCATCAATTCTTAAACAGGCCCAGACCAATCCCCATATATACATGTAATGTAAGTCAAACTCAACACTTTTCATACAGATGGTCTTTTTGTAGGTGGGGGAGGACAAACACTGTAAACACCTGTCTTTCTGTTAGCCCTAGTTTCACCACATCTGTCTGTTTTTAGGCCTGGATCACAGCAATAAATGTCAAACCTCTCCAAATCTGCACCTCCGCTGCTCATCCTCTTTGCACATCTAAATACCAACTTCCCATCTCCTCTTGACTTGCACCTACTTGACTTTCACAATGGCTTTAGTTTCTCATCCTTGCCTCATTCACTCAGCTTCAAAACTATTTCTGATTGCAGTGCCATCGATTTTAAATGCCTCAATAGCTGAATAGCTAACATCCTCCACCATAAAAACAGGCACCTACTGAGCTATGACTAAGGCATTTTATATAGTATTTACATGAATTGGGGTATCTCTCACCCTCCATACTCATGCCACTATTGATACAACCATTTTTTCAGAGAATCAGTAAATCTATCAAACAGTAAGCGTTTCTCCATTTTGTTCATTTCAAAAATAAATTCTTGAAGGTCCTCAAAAATAGCTTCTATTTAAAAGATTCTTCCCTAAATATCATTAACTGTGACTGAACCTACTCTTTCCCACTGAATGGTGGACTGCAGCTTGCCTGTTCCACAAGTGTGAGCAATGCAACAGCTCTGGTGAACTTGTGCATTTAAAAGGCGACACATTTCATTATACTCAAGTACCCCTCATCAGCCTTATGCCTAACGCACAAACTTCAAAACAGAGTAATCACATCAAGAGGATCAGTGCACAAGACAATATATCATCCTCCCACATCATCTTAGTTCATCTTGAAAGGCTGGCAAAATGCATGCATGCTTCTTCTCTGGCATAAACATATGGAAAACCATCCAGGCATACGCAAAAGACAAGCTGACAAGGCAAGCAGAGTGTGAGGTGGTTTTGGTTTTCCTATGGGGGGGACCACACAAAATGACCAAAACAGGACAGAACAAATGTGTCACTTCTACAAGCAAAACACTGTTATGCAAAGAGAAACCTTATGAATTAAAAACAGATCTGCAGGCTAATTTTCAACTTATCAATCCTCAGCATCTTGAGCTGTAGCAAAGAATCATGCAACTGACCTTTCTAAGTACATGATGGCCAGTAGGCAAAGCACAAACAGTATGTAATCTATAAGCCCAGGTCATACTTTAGCAAGAAACTTGTGACATTTACTACACTCACACTGACCCTTTTATAAACTAACCCCCCCCCAAAATTCAACAGCCAAAAATTGGTCATTCATCCAACATCTTAAAGCCAAGGCTTTTCATAAAAATTAAAGGCTCCGATGAATCACTCATAAGAACTTAACTTAAATATCCCCTTATAACAGATCTTCTCTTCATTGTTGTGCCACCCTTAATGAAGCCACAAAATGCCTAATAACACACGTGTGGGACCAAGCCTTGTATGCTCCATCAAATTTGGTAATATTCCACTTTCTCCTGTCTCGTTAATACGCAACTGTCACTGACAATATTTATATTCTACCTGCACGATAAACACCCCCACCACATGAGAAACTTGAAAAACCCAGGCATCTCTAATTTACAGCGAACACAGATGAAGAAAAGAGCTCCTATATTTAGGTCGAGAGCTCTCAGACAAATGACTGTTTGGGAAGGGATTGGACTGGAGGCATTCGGTAATGTCCAAACATTTCCAAGTGGAGTTGCAGCCTGAGTGAGTTGTAAACAACACGAAGGAACTACTCTGACTTGACCTTTCTGGTGAAAGATGAGCTTTACTATAACACCAACCACTGGGTCATTATTGCAGTTCAAATTGTCTTGCACAGCAGCGGTGGTAAATACAACCGTCACAGATAATTAAGAGGCGACAGCCCTGATGTGATTCCAAAATGTGTTTACAACCTGAACAAACCTAAGACCACTTGATCTTTTACTTCATCTACCGGTATTACAAGGCATGTCAAAAACTGTGTTCCTGCATTTTGTAAAATTCCAATCCAAAATGTATCAGTTTTATGACTTTTTGGCTTTAGTTTTCTTTTTTTTTTTCCCTACTTTTTCTTCCTCTTTCTTTGCCTGAATTCTTTGAGTGCCCATCTGTGGCATTTAAGTGGACTTTTAATTAACAATAAATTGGGGTTGGGTTATTTGCCATTTGAACCAAATGTAGTAAAAAATACATCATCGACGCACAGCCAGCCAGCAGGTTTCTGACAGTCACTAAAAAGCATGTTAAAAGCTGAAATATATGCACCCTCACGAGGCTTCAATTTGGTAATGCTGGGTAGTAACTAACGGAATACCGTGGCCTTTACAGAGAACAGAAATCAATCATAAGGACTACTTCTGCTGATGTCAACAAAGCAAACAACAGATTAGGAAGCGCTGCTTTAAATTATACAGGAGGGAAAAATAAATATTTATGACACACTTACGAGAGATATAGATCGGCCCGAGTACTTCTCACCAAAATTAAGAAATTCAACGGAGAAATTACAATGTTCCTGGAGGCTGGCCTAAAGAGCAGCATGTATGTACATGTAGGCCACATACAGTAGATGTGGACTCTAAATAATTTGAGTAAATCGCATGTCATGAAAAAATTTTACAGGATGTATTCACAAGCTTTGTGGCTTGTTGATAAGAGAACCTGTTTTTCTTTTTTAAAAAAAAGGAGAGGTTCTATATAAAGGATAATGCATATGGGAGTAATAACTCGATGTCAAGAGTCCCTGGCCAAGCGAATATGGTTTTTCCACGAGTTGATGGCAAAGTACCATTTCTGAGCAGTGTAACATTATACAATTTCATTAACAAAATCCAGTGCTGCCATTCAC